ATACTGCATCACTTTGTATTCTACCTTCTTTTCTGGCTTTCCCCCCCTAAGATGTTTTACTTTAATTCTAGCATCGTCTCTCTTCTCCACTCATCAACTTTCCACAGAGTGCATTCTCTGTCTCTTTATCTTAATTAACTTGGTTTTCTGAGAGAAGCATATCAGCTTCTCAGCTCTTTTTAAGAGAAATTGCCCACTCTACTGTTCCACCAGAACCAACACGTAATATTGACATTCCCTCAGCAATTTGCTATGCTTATTCACCATCCTCAGGAATAAAACATTCCTCCATCGATACCAGTATTACCCAGATAGGCACCAGTACACCTTTGCCCTCAGAGTCCTAGCCATTTTCTTTTCTTCACTTATTAAAACTTTGCCACAGAACTTTTGTTCCTTTGTCCCATCTCAGAGCATTGGATGTGCTTCAGAATTAGTAGCATTGCTTACTATGTGAAGAACTATTAAAGGATGGATCCTGGAAATATTTAGCCCTCTTCACAGGATCCAATTTCTTCCATAACCCACTTGAAAACCTGATTACTCTGTCTTCAAACAGATTGGAGTGACATACAGCAGCTTCTGTTGTTGTGGGTTTAATATTTACAATTATGCAGGCTATAAATCAGTTTAAGTAGCATTTACAATAATGTTTTGGAAAGTGAAACTGAAACTAAACATATAAATTGAAGCAAATTATAAAACCATGTAGTGTCTCGCCACTACCAGCCCAGAGGAAGGGGCTTCTGGGCCACCATCCGTTCAGCCACTCCCTGCCCAGAGGATGGGGCTACTGGGCTGCAGTCCATCCTGCCACATCCGGCACAGAGGAAGGGGCTTCTGAGCCTCTGTCCCACTGCTCCCAGCTCAGAGGAGGTGAGCCACATGAGCGCCAACAGCAACTCCCCCAACTGGCAGAATGAGAAGACATGTAAACAAGTCTCAAAACCAGATTTCCAGATCATCTATAGCAACCCCAAAGGGAAATGAGATGGAACACCCTGATACTCAACCACCTGGACTCCCTGAATTGGCAACAAAAGAGGATCTGGAAAAGATGAAATCAGAAATAA